TATACCGAAATACTCAAAAAGTAAAATTAACAATGAAGGATCCGAACTATGGGGCCCATACTTCCCAGAGTGCGGCTATATTTTGAGGGTCAGAAATCTGAATCCGTTGAAAAAAAGTACGCTTATTCAGAGAAAGTATGTTTTTGTCTCTGATTTCGTAACTTGAAATATCGTCTGCACTAATGAATCAGCATATTTGGGATTACCCTTTCGAACAGTTAAGATTGAGTCCTAGAACGTAACAAACCGATCATTAGATCAAAAGTTATTCCGGACGGTCTGTTCATTTTTTTTATTTATTTATTTTTTGGCGCATTGTGCATGTACGTAGTACTATGCTAAAAGTTTATATAACAATTTTACGGAATTTTTTTCTCTTAAATTTAAAAAGCGAGTTTCAAAATCCCAGTTGATTTTAAATAACTAAATAATAGAAAAAAATCAATGAATTGTCAGAAAAAGAAAAAAGCAAAATAGAAAGACAGTAATTTTATTTTCATGTCATTGTATAGGATGGAATCGAATATATTAACATAATTTTGCGTAATCACCACTTAACCTGAAAAAAAAAAAAAGAAACTCTTAAACAAATCTCTCACTTTGCCGCCAAACTGAATGATATTGGCATCGAAATAGAATCTAGTAGTGACAACCAGTGACAGTTGAGATTTTTCATCAAAGCTCTCTGAGGACCAATAGCAGTTGTTTTGACATCGATGAAAACAAGTGATTTGCTCCATTGGGAGACTTCAGACGGTTTGTCAACCACGAGAAATGACAGAAGTCTTATTCTGAGTATAAAAACCAATAACAACGTCAAATGTCTTCTAAATTTACCCATAAAATTGACCTTTATCTTTTTTTATTTATATTTAAGAGGATTAAATACTAGCTGTAGAAGGTATACTATAATTCACAAAAGATTTGAATTTTTCTCCTTTTTTGCACAGTAATGCCAATGCAAAGAAATCAACGGTATAGCTGACAGTTCGGGTTTATTAAAAATGGCGAGCTGCACAAAAGAATAACACTTTTATATTGTTGAGCAATATTTTGGACAGTGTTTAATCATTTCGTGGTGGCATTATTTCTTGTCTCGAAGATTTGAATTGTCCGCTTATGTAATGCGTGACGACAGAAATTTGTTATCAAATTAAGTGTCGTACTATGGTTAATTTTATTTTTTAGAAAATAATAAATAAACAAAAATTGTGCTAATTAATTACCTAAGTCGCAAATTTTAAGTATAGGTAATTTTATTTTATAACCATCGTTGAACAGCCGACCCAAATTTGAGTTTACAACGACTCCGTAATTTTGAACCTAATACAGAAAACTTGGGAACTCCTGGATGAAGTATTGGGAGAAAATTTGGCTTCGGGGAGGTCTTTTTTTTATGGTAATAACCCGCATGTGCGTTACACGGAGCAGAAAACAACGAAAACCTCCCACGGTTAGCATGACGGCAAAGGAGACAGATATAATTTTATTTTATAACCGTTGTTGAACAGCCGATTCAATTTTTTGGATATACGACAGCTAATGCTCAACTCTGTAACCTTGTAATTCTGAACCCTATCCAGAAGACGTGGGAACTCCTGGGTCAAATATTGGGAGAAATTTGCCTTCGTGGGATGTTTTTTTTTTGTAGATGGAATTAACTCGCATTTGCGTTACATGGAGAGGAAAACCGCGAAATTTTCTCACGATAAGTCTTATGGCAATGGGACTAGATATAGGTAATTATAGATATACCGCAAAGCATGGGTATAAATGTTTTATGTATTTATAAATTTATTCGTTCACTCACTAATACGCCAATTCACTTTCTTTCTTTCCTCTTTCTGATTACTCCCTCATTCATTCATTTATTAACTTGCTAGATCATGTATTATTATAGAGCAGGGGTGGCCTACCTGCGGCTCGCTAGCCACATGCGGCTCTTTGAAGGATTATTTGTGGCTCTCGATAAAGGTAGTCGAGTTCCCTTTTCATTTTTGTGCTATTATATTTAAAACAATTATTATCGTTCAGTATGTGTTTCAAAATGTCTTTTGAATTACTGAGAACAATTATGAAAAACTAAGTGCAACGTTCAAGGTGAGTTTCCCATTTCCAATATAATTATGACACAAAAAGCATCTTGAGAATGAGAATTAATAGAGATGCAAGAAGATCAAGCTCTACAATTAAAATATAAGTCGACGTCGATTACTGAATTTTGGAAATTTGTACCAGAATCGAAGTAATTAAAAAAAGGCTGTTTGTCGAATTATTTCAATATTCGGAACAAAGTACTTATGTGAATCATTTTATTCAATTTTAAAATTCGTGAAATCCAAACACCGATCAGTGTTAACTAATCAGCATCTCAAGGAATTACTGAGAAGTGCTGTCAATAATTATTCATCAAATTTTAAAGAATTATCAAGAGAAGTAAAATAAATGTGTTTAATATTTAAATTCATTACACATATTTTGTACTTTTATTTTTATGTTTTCAATAAATATAATTTATGTTAAAAGATTTTAATACCTTTTAAATACGTATTTAATTGCGGCTAGAGAAAAATTTCAAATTTTGAAAAATGGCTCGACTATCAAGGAGCTTGGCCACCCCTGTTATAGAGGGTGCACGAAAACTTTGAAAGTATTCTCACAAAAGCCCAATTTTGAGCCTAGGGTGGTCATAAAGATTAAGGCTAAACAATTTCGTGACCAACAGCACGATTGTGGAAATGTGGTCAGTATTACAGGCCACCTTTACTTCTCAGAGAAGCTGGGTGGGCTTCAATTCCCCGCTGAAAATCGAACCCGTCTTTCGTAAAGGAAGCTCACGGTTTTTAAACACTAGCCATTGCAGCTCATGCGGAAAAAAATATCGGTAGAAATACGTGTCGAGTAAAGCATTAAAAATACCCGGGTGAAATATTTTCAAAACATGCCTTCGATAATAGCAAACTCGACCCCGGGGAGTGTGATAGCCGAGTTTTGTGCCAATAGAATCAATTTTTTTAAGCCTATAGTATTTTTCGAAACATCCAATTTAAACCCAATTTTCATCTGCGATAACAGCATCACATTATAATCAAAATGCAAAAACCTGTAAGATCAGTAAGGATATTTTCTTTTCTGAAGTATCCAAATCTGCAATAAAAAACTCCATCGTGTTTAGTCACGTTCGAGGTTCCGATTAAAGATTTTCAATTCGCCTCCCAAGATCTAAGGTTAGGGGTTGAGTTTAATATCATTAAATACTATTATTTGACCCAATGATTTTGTGTCAAGATTTTTGAACGCTTCTACTTTCTACAATACATCATTTGATAATTTGAAGCAAAAAACTAGATTATTACAAAAAAAATATTAAATTATTTTGAAAAACTGGATATATTTTATTTTAATTAGAAGTTACCAGGATAGAAATACAAATGACTCTTAATAACAAACAGAAATTGCATGAGGTTCTTCAATTAAATGAAAAATATTCTTTGAGACAAATTATGCTTGCGATGACTTAGTGTCACAAAAAGATTTATGCTAGAAGATTTTCTTCATACAAAAGGAATTTAGATATTTTTTAAACGGTGAAAATAAAGGGTTTTTAAAATTAATCAATCTAAAAAAAAGACTTGTAACATAAGAAAAATAATTACTAAATTAAATTATAAGAATGTAAGTTTATATTCGCATATTTCATGATCTGAAACCATAAAACTTTAACTTTCAAATAGAAATACTTACTCTTTACATCTTTAATCAGTCAGGCAAGTTCTGTACGTGTCTACATCACATTGCCGAACTTAGAGCATTTTTCATAGTATAAAAAGTACAATTTCTGAATTATACAGTGGGCAAAAAAAAATCCAGATTGCAACTACCCTCTATATTTTGGAGGTAAAAAATCCGAAAAAAAATTATGTTTATTCAGTTTTTATGTCTGACTTCGAAACTTAAAATATAGTCTAAACTAATTAATTAGAATATTTGAGGTCATTCCTCGAACCACCAAGTCCTAGAACTTAAAGATCCTATTATTAGATCAAAAGTTATTCAGAGTGGCCCTTTTTTTTTGCTATAAATACTTAGGAAAAAACCTTTATAACCTTAACACTATTTATCCTATCAACTCGAAAACATATATATTAAAAAAATTACTTTATATGACCACATCGCTACTATATAACAAGGTAAAAAGTGTACATAAGTACATGTCAAAAGATGTACTATTCATACCTATAAAACCTGGCTTATTTTGAACTATTCATCTTATTGACTCCTGTATCATCAATCACATTCGCTTCAGCATGAAAAAAACAATGTCTCAGAAGTCTAAATAGAAATATGTAAGTTTTTTAATCACCTACTATAAGGAGAGTACTTTTATGTTACTTTTACCATGTATTTTTATGTGCATATTTGTTTATGATGAATCGAATTAGGCTTAACACAAGTGAATAGAATAAAAAATTTAGAGGTTAAGAGTTAATGCTTATAAATAATTCTTAAAATACTTATTATTTACATTGATATATCATACAGAGATTTTCCTCCTCTCCTCTCTCCCCACTTAAAACGTATTGCAACTTTTTACTGCTTAGTAATAAAAAGGGACTTAGTTTGCAATTGAGTTTTTTCCTTCTTTTTTTAATATTTGGCTTTTGTTTTCTGAGGGATATGTAAGAGAAAAAATTAATGTATAGCAAAAAAGAAAGAGAGAATCATCAATAAAAAATTCTTAATTATTTTTTTTTTCACTTTCATTTTTGTTCTCAGTTAAAATAAATAAAATAAAATATTTCAAGTAATTAAAATTTCGATAAAATAAAATAATCAAGATAGTCTATATGTTTGTTCAAAAAAATTTTTTTTTCTTTTTCTTTTAAGGGAAGGGGGAATCTATACATACTAATTGTTTTCATTCATCAAAGATACTAAGCTTTAATCAATCTCTTTTTGAGCATGCAAAACAATAGATATAAGTAAACAAATACAGTATATTGGTAACAATCAACTTTATTTAGAACTTTAAATTTATAACTAGTTGCAAGTGGTTAAATAGGTAGAATTATAAGCAATGGTTTATTTACTGAAAAATAAAAAAGGACATTAGGACAATTATAAAGGTATACTACATCTATGAAATTTGCAATTAAAGCATGCTGTGAGCAGTTTTCAACCAACAAGCAACATTACCTAATTTAATGCACATGCTATTGTATAAAAAAAATAAAAGACATACCACTACAACACATTGGTTTTACTTAATAAAGCACACTAATATTTTATATTCTTCCAAGGAAAATGCAGGGTTTTTAAACATTTTGAGGAATTTCCAAAATTTTCTTTTTTCTTTGGAAAAAGACTAGGTAAAAAGTTTTATTTCTCTTAATATATTTAAACTTCAAATTAGTATTATTTGTTCAAAGTAATAAATAAAAAATTATACTGATCTGTTTTTAATAATATCTTTTTCTTTTTTTAAAATTAATTTCAAGGTCTAGGCAGACATTGCGGAAAACCAAAGAAAATATCAGAACTTTTTTTAAAAAAACCAGAACATTTACATATACTAGACTTCTTTTAAAAAAAAAGCAAACAAAAAATACATAATTTGTTCTGCTCCAGGATTATAAAAGGAAAATCCCAAAAGAATAATAAAATATTTTTTTTTTTTAATTTCTGAATTATTTTGCTTAAAACAGAAAGTTTTCAACATAATTTTATTTATAGTGAACAACTCATAAAAATTTCAAACAAGGCATAGAAAATTTTCATAGTACAGTTAGATTAAAAAAAAACAGTTTCAATTAGTTATTATTCCCTCACTCCAATATATAATTGAAAATTTTAATTGATTTCAAGATTTTCTTACTCAAATAACTTTAAAGTAGGGTTTCAACAATCTCAAAACAAAAATATAGTGAATATGCCGCATAATATTTTTGGGCAAAAGTAAATTTAATGAACGATCTCTCAATTTATTATTTAAAAATTATGATTACTGTAAAGTTGATTGAAATCTATCATTTTTAAAATCACAAGAAAAATGTGTATAAATAATGTGAACCTAAAAAAGTGCACCCTACAAGATTTGCTATTATATTTGCTTAAAATAATAAATAAGTATAGGACACTGAATACATAAAAATTTGGTAATATAAAATTATGATAGGACTGAATTCAAAAAAAGAAAAAAAAAGTTTAAACTATCGTGTGGGCATACCTGAACCCTGTATAAAATTAGTAGATAGATCCTAAATGTGAACTATCAAATTTTGAGATTTCTATTAGCATTATTAATTAAAATAAAAAAGTGTTGGATCTAAAATTGAATTTTCTCAATTCTTCAAATCTATTTTTAAAAATCCGCAATTATATTCTTATAAAATGAGATGTTTTTCACACAGAGAAATCAAGAATACCAGGATAAATATAAACAAAATATTTTTCATCAGGAAAATCAAGAATATCAGGACAACCAGCAATGTTTGTATTTTGTGAAATAATTTAAGAAATGACTATTTTTGTTAGGAAAACATTTACTGTTACTATTTGCTTTTAATGAACCCATCATTTCAAACACCAAACGTCAGTAATACTTTGATGACATGTTTTTAAAAATACATTTTTGAACTATTTCTTATCACATAAATGAATCCTTTTTAATATATATACTATTTTAACAAAAACTAAAAATTAAAAGTTGTCGATATTTTTAAAAAAAGTATTGAAATAATGTAGGGTAAACAGTTACAGAAAAAGTACAAGCTAAATAATTATTGATTATAAAAAAATTAACATCTTTAATACAACGTATGCAACTAACTTTTTCTTAATCAACTAAACCATATTAAAGCATTAAAGAAATGAATATTTATATATAAAGATCATTGAATAAAATTGCAATTATTTTAATCCCTTAAGAAAATAAAATTGCTTCATTGAAAGAAAAAGTAATACTTTATACGCTACTTAAGATTTTGAAAGTTTTCATCAACTGAATATACAAATGTAGAGCAATTTTTTGAATATCACATTACTAGATACCCATATATTTACAAAGCAATTTAAGATAAAATATACAATATTTTGGAGTTAAGAAACATTAACTGGCTGGAATTTTTGGCAATCCAAATTCGTCAACCAATACACCCTGAAATAAAAAAACATATAAATCAATCACTAAAAAATTCATACTGCACTTACAAACATTTTTTTTTTAAATAATAAACTGTGATTAATACTTTGCATTGAATTCTTACGGTGTCAATAAAAAAATTTATGAATAAAATAAAATAAACTCAACGGAATTTACCTATAATTCAAAATTTAAAAATTGTAATATTTTTTAAAATTAAATTTAGTTATTGACTGTAAATGTTATAATGCATGATCATACTGCAAGCATTTCATTATTGCTATGTATTAAATAATTAAAACAGCCATAACAAAAACATGTTACTAAATATCTATGAATATCTCTATATAACATAAAGAGAAAAATCTAAAACTCTTTTTGCTACTGTCTATGCATTCTTATTGGTCAGAAAATCTTACGGTAGGACACTTAATTAACAAAGAAAAAAAGATTTCTTAGCTTATCTTCTGCATGATACTGATAAGAGTTACGAATATATTTTTGACCTATATGAAATATTTCCTTATAAAACTTTTTTTGCAATGCAATTAAATTTTTATGCAATTACATTTTAAATTTTGATTATTTTTCTCAGAGTTGTGTACTTATAGAGGTGTTAGGTTATTGTAAATTAATCCTACGATATTAAATTATTACACAAAAATTTTAGATAAAAATAATTCAAATGGTATATAACTTATTATCCATTTCGGAATTATCAAATAGTAAATTAGTTTTATTTACTTTTGCCGTAAGCTTTAGTAAAAACTGCGTCCAGTCAACATAAGAAGTTAAAATAATATATACAAAACTGCAAAGCACCATTACGAATTAACTTTTCACACTATTACTAAATAATCCATTGAGCGAAAAACATTAAGGAGTTTTTATAGCAATTAAAATCTCATTAGCTATTTAAAATTATAATTGTTGATGAAGTTACGACTTGAATCGAGCAAAATAATTCGACTTCACTTTTATCCCAATAAATATGAGAGCAATATACAGAATGAGGAGCCTCTTATGTAAACACATAATCATGTTAAAACTGTTTAGGAATGATGAAATTGAATTGTTTTTGTTTACAAACATTGACTAAGATAAGAATAAAACTAGTGATTGAGATTAGAGGACCCAAAAACAGAATACATTTTTATTGTATTCTGGGTATCAGTTCTAGTCATGTATTCAATCTAAGTACTTTATTATCTAGTACTGTCCTACGATTCAATGTAATCGTATAAAATTTATACGATTCAGTACTCATTTAGCACAATTTTATATGTTACAGCTTTAATTTATGCTTTGATCATAAACTATACTTTAACTAAAAAATTTTAAAACACTTGAAAATAAAACTTTATTAAGGTTCTGTTAAATTTTAGTTTAATTTGCTCACTCAGTTTGGTTCCCAAACATGTGATGCAAGCTTTCCCTTTATTTCAATTTTTTTTAAAGCATTTAAGGTTTTTAAGACATCTCTAAAACTCAGAAATTTCTGAAATCTTGATCTTACAAACCTTTGAATAATTCAGAGTTTTGGAGTTCAGAGTTTATTACAATCTTTAAGTCCATAGCAAAATAAGATTTTTGCTCAACTACTAAAAAAGTAGTATTGCAGTCGTGTTTCAAGGAGCTTTTAAAGTTAACATTTAAAGAAAAAAATAGTATTTCGGACAAAGATTTTACTAAAATGTATTTATAAATCAATCTCATTTTGTTTTTCCATTGATACAGAATATTTTTATTTTTGTTACACTAGAGCTGCACAATGGGGTAATGGGGAAAGTCTAGGAAACATCTCTGAGAATGACAAAATTGTTGCCAGGGTAGATTAGAATACATACTAAAGAGTTCAATAACAGTGATATTTTTACACTTACACCAGGTGGAACACTGTCAGCTCCAGGTTCTTTAGAAGGAACAGATGGTGTTTTTACTGCATCATCTAAATAGGAAGTATCTTCATCTAAAGCTATCTCATCACCCAATGCATCCAATTCTGTAAAAGGAGAAAAAAAAGTCTTGATAAACAAAGTATACAATAAGTTCAAATGAACTAAGAAACATTTGGTTTCAGTCATTTCAAAACTTTTCCAAAGAAAAAAATTTAAATTTTGATTTTATATATTTTTAGACATAAATTGTGGTTTTATATATCTCAAAATTGAAAGGACGCTAAAAAAATTTCGAAATAGCGAGTTTTTGAGATAAGTTCAGAATTAAATATGTTTTAAAAACTAAAAAAATATATTGTAAAATAGTTCTCTAAAAAGTAGTGATGAAACATAAAAATAACTACTAATAGTTATGTATACAACGATAGTTGACTATAATCCTAAATACAGCAGTGATAATTTTATTTTTAAAAGTAAGACAAAAATAATTATGCATTACATAGAAAAGAATTGATTTACGATAAACTAACATAGTGATAGTTTGAAAAAATTCATTTTCCCTTTCGAAAAATATTCGACATAAGATTTTGAGAAAGAAGGTCTTAGATATAGTAATTCAAATTAATATTAAGTGGATAAATAATGCTCAGGAGAAAAATATTTTTTTGACACAACAAAGCGTTTGAAATATAGAAGTTCAGGATATCAAGAGTATACTGTATTTACATTAGTTTCAATTCATCCTATTCAATTATAATTTTATCACCATGTGTAACTAGGTAGTTACTACGTACAACTATAGACATTCAGAGCAGTGGGAATAAAAAAATTGAAAAATTTTTTTTAATAAAATTTGTATCAATGTTTTCTTATTTTTACACTTAGATTTAGGAACTTTCCTAAATTTCTTAAATAAAAAGGCTTTCTGTGGGTCTGTTATGCAATAATTCAGCATATTCTTTTTTAACTTAAATTATAGTAGCAGCCTTATTTTCTTTATTAAAAAAAATCTTTTTATAAAATTATGGTGTACAAGAATGAAACTAAGAATTAAAACCAAACAAATTAAGACAATTAACAAAAACAGGGTTCTTGTTGAAAAAACCTACATATAAACCTACATACGTCTTCAAAGATACTCGCTAACTATCAAAATTTTGTGATCCTGTTTTAAAACAATGTTTACTTTCAAAATGTCAGTGACTAAAATAATTTAAATTTCTCACTTATTCTATTAACTTTTCACAAAAAAATAATTAATTAGTGTACTTTATTCTGAACTTTTGTACTTTTTTCCATAACTTTTTCTTCAAATCCTTGCAAAATTTCCAAAACAAATTAAGCTTCCCTTATAATAAGAAAAATATAAATTGATCTGTCAATATTACCTTTGACTTGGAACTTTCTAATTTTGACAAAAGTTTGAGTTTTAAAATCCCAAGTTTAGACAAAAGTCTTACATGTAAAACAAAAAGTTTCTAAGTTAGCAAAAATTGAACAATTGTTATCATTTATGAGTTTCATGAAATATTTGCTCTGGGTAAAATGAAGGTAAATACAGTATTTTCAAAATAGTTTTTTCTTTTAAATTACTTTGTATTATAAAGGATAAGTTGTATTTGAAAACAAACTTAATTAGATAAAATTTTGGTTTTCAACTATAGCTTAAATTAGAAACACTTAAACTAAAATTCTTCGTAAAATATGAGAACATGTAGTTAAACAATATTAAACAAAAGAATATTGGCAAACAATATGAAATATTTTTTCTAAAAAAGCTGAAGTTAAAATAATTATTTTAAAAAAATCTTTTTTAAATTGAAAACTATCTATAGAATTTCACTTATACATTTCAGTACAATTATAAGTTTCAGCATTTCGAAACAACAGTTTTAAGTTCTTTATTAAAACATACCCTCAAAACCTTTTTAGAAATCAATGAAAAAAGTTTAATTGCATAAAATATTACTTATATTGATATATTTTTATGTGTTATAAAGAACATATTTTAACATAACTTCACACATAAGAGATGCATTAAAACTTAGAAATATTTTGATAAGTAAGAATATGAATTTAGTAAAACAAGTTATGATAATTTAAGTAATGACTATACCTGCTTCAAGTTCGTCATCATCAACTTCTGGCATACCATAACTCCTACCAAGAGCTTCTTGCACTTCACTAGCTTGATCTAACATATCCTCTAAATCATCTTGAACATTCTGAAATTGTTAAATGTTCAATACAAAATAATTCTAAAATTTATATTCAGAATTTAACATTCTAAAAAAATTTTTATAATTTATCATAAAAAGAACCTAATTAAAAAAAAAAAAAATTCATACATTTTTCAAAAATTGAACCACTTAGTCCACCATTCAAGAATAATGCATACTGTATAACTTACTCGTTGCAGTTGTTCTTATTATATGGAATACAAAGTATTGGTGAAATAACTTACAATATATTTTAATGTTCTTGTATTTGACAAGCTAAGTAATGTCTAATTATGTTAGTTAAAAAAAATTTTAAAAGCTTTTTTAAATGTGTAACTGCACAAAAGTATTTTAAGTAATAATAAATACATTTTTAAAACTATACAGCTAAAAGGGTCTAAATCTTATATTCAAAAATATAAAAAAGTTTTTCCATGAACTTTTGAGATACTTATGCTAGGATCTTGGTTTTTCATCCCTTCTTAAAAAATAAGTGCATTCAAAAAGAAGATAAACCGTATAGAAGATATAACAGTATATAGAAGAAAGAAAAACAAGATAAAGTAAATCATCAATCATTTAATTTTAAGCAGTAGGTTCAAATTTCCAAGGTTACAAAGTTCAGTAAATAAAAACTGAAATATACAAAAAGTTAAAATATGTTATGCGGATTGTCAGTTTACTTTGAACACAAAAACTTTTTAGTAATGAGTGTAGAAACTCCTGGTATTCAATTAAACAATGTCAAATCTATGAGATACAATTACGTAACAGTCTTATAAATATAGAAACTTTAAATACTTACTTCAATTTCATCGATGTTAACTTTTTTATAATGTTGTTTCATCTCTTTGACACCCATCTTCATTGCATCAATCTATATAAAAACCAATTACAATTTTTTTACATAAATTTAAGTTAACAATAATAAAAAACTCTGAACCTTAAAAAGATAATGTTTTATTAAGAAACTATTTGACACATTTATAAAGTTTAATCAGAAAAATGAAAACAGTTCTATTTTTAAAATTATTGATAAAATTTTTTTTTAATGAAACTGTTTACATTACAGTAATTAAAAAACTAATTTCACAAAGCGTAATTTTTTTCCTTCATTTTTTAACAATTTTTTTTAAACATTTTTTAATACATTTTCTGAAGTAATATTTATTTCAATCAAATTCCAATGAATATTTAAATACAACTGAAGAAAATAAGGACAATATTTTAAAACAAAAAATTTGGAAAAGAATTTTTTTATAAATATAGACTTTCAAAATTACAGTGAAATCCTAATTTCAAATTTTGTTAACTTGAAAATGCTACTAATTAACTCTTTACTATGTTTTTCCAATGCTGGATTTTGAAACTGATTTATTATCAGTATGCACCCATATTTTTATTTTATTTTCTTGCCAACCACTTTTGGCTCATTTTTATTGGTGCAACTTTCAACACATGTCGAAAACAAAAATATTGAAATCATATTAAATTCAAAGTTCACTTTTCTTACAGTCATTCTTTACAACACAAAACATACATTTCAGAAATGAAAAAAATAACAGATCTGTATCAGATCAAGTTTAATAAAAAATAGTTTAATAATAGCAGCAAGTTTAATAAAAAATAATTATAAAAAATAACAGCAATATAAACACACATTATAATACACACACAATACATACACAATATAAACAACTATTCTTCAATAATTTTAAACATGCATATCTTTTAAGAAAGATACAAAAATAAGCGCATCAAAGTTATTTACTCATAAAATGTGTATCCTACTTCTTTTTCCTTCAAAATACCTTAAAATTACACCAATCTTTTAAACCTTCTAGCAGAAGCACAGCAATATTAAATGCATTTAATTTTAAAATTGATTTCATAACCATATTAAATCCTTTCAATTACAGCAAATATACTCAACGCAAAAAAGCAGTGAAACTACTAATTTTTGGTGATAAGCAAAACAAAATGCCTGACGATAGTCTCGCATCAGATGTACTAAGATTCTACACATCACTTCAAAATTAATATGAACATTCTTAATTTATCTGGACTGTGTAGATAGATTAAAAAAGAAACATCTGGTCAATTCTTTAACCAAAAAAAAAATTAAGTACAGTGGATTCTACTAATCAGAACAAGAAAGCAATTCCTAAACCAAAAAACACCAGTGTAGTGTATTGCGAGCAATCTTACATAAACTTAAAAAAAAGAAGAAAAACAGTTAAGATATTAACTCGAACTCTTTGGTCCTCCCCCTTTTCCAATCATTAAATCACATTTATCTATACGACAATCCAAACACCACAAGTACAATCCAAACACCACAACAGTGGTTATTATCGTAGATGTTGGTGGTAAAAAAAAAAATCCCAAAAAATGAATACGAGCACATAACAAACCAGTCCCTAGGTTTCCCTTTGACAAAATAATTAACAAAATCACATAGTTGCTTGTGTAAGAAAACCCAACTCTAATCTTTTATGCATTAAATTCTTTTTGTTTAGTATTACAAATACAGATATACTTACAGTAACTTTTGTATCCTTTAATTGCTGAGTAGCAAAGTTGGTTTGCTCCATATTAAATGATTGCTGAGCAAGATTGTCCCTTTGTGATTCATACCTTAAAAAAAAGTAATAGAGTAATTTGTCATATTCTGCAAAGGTTAGAAAAACATGTAACGTTTTCTAAATATAAAGTCAAAGTGCATACATTTTCTTTTGCTTCAGAACTCTCATAGCCTTTTGTTTCACCATATTCTAAAAGAAAAATCAATAAATTCAGTAAAATAAATCATATTTAATGTAGGTAATTTATTTAAGTTTTTCAAGATTTTTTACAAATGTGTTACACTATAAAATACTTAGATGAAAGAATTCATTTCTGTCAGAACAATCTGAAAATAATTACACTAATATCTCAATCAAATTCATAAACTAAATAAAAAATTAAACTAAAACTAAACACAGTGACAAGACAGCCCATGGAGGGACTAGGCCTACTGGCCCATCTAAGTATTCTGAACCTTCGGCTCAGGGAGGCAGGGGCAGATGGTGAGATTAAATGGTCAGCCGAATGACGCAGAACCCATTATCATAAATAAAAAATTAATGTCATCTTTATTAAAATTGAAATATAATAGAATGATAAAATAAAATAAACATTGAAATTAAAGAAAACGGATGAACACGAAATTAACAATTTATCAATTACCAATTTGCAAATTACTAACATTTAGAGATTACAGATAAAAATCCTGTTATTTCCATCACTTATGAAAGTGACATGAAACATTTAAAAACCTACCTAACATTATGAAATAGTCTTAACACTGAATATTTGACAAAGTCATCTTTATTGTAATAATTAAAACAATTTATTTTATAAATTTAAAATCAAATAGATATAAATAATAAAATAAACTTGATTCAAATATTATTATTTTGATTCAAATAGCTTGAGCATACTAAATGTAGACGAATGAAGGTCACTGAGTGCATCAAGCATCTCAAATTTCCATTTGCTAAACTTAATAAATTAGTGAAACCATATTTTTTAGATTAGAGCTACTTCCTATATTTTAGGGGTCAAAACCTGAAAAGTATGATTACACAAAGAAATAATGCTTTGGTGTCAGTATCCTTCACACAAAATATCATCTATACTAATTGCCTAACTATTTAAGACTACCTAAAGGAGCCTGCTACTTAGTACTTATAATTCTGACATTTAAAATGCTTCATAAATTAGCTAATTTTTGAATTATTAGTTAATTATATTAAATAATTTAACATATTCTATTTTTTAATTTGTGATTTGTACATAATCAGGACAATTTTCTTCGTGAAATTTTTTCCCCATTGTTTTAATACTTGTTTTAAATAAAATTCAAATCTAAACATAACAGAAATATTTTGTTCATTATGATGTAATTTTATCATAAATTATTCTTTCTTTATTCATAAATTATTCTATTTCTAATCTAGCACAGAATTTACATACTCTTTACATTATGTTCTATTATGTATGATCTAAGATTTGGGAAATATCAAGTTTGCCATAACAAATTATTTTAAGAGGAAAATATGTCAACCATACACACATTTAAAATTGCAAAATTTTTATGATTTATTTAAAATTTATGCAAAATAATAATTTTTCACCTATGTAAAATAATATAAAAACAAATGTAAATAACAAATTTATGTACATATTCCAATATATCACATGTTCCAATAAATATAATTATGTTCCAATAAATATAGACTAATTATAAGCAATAAATTAGTGATAATTATAAAATAGCAATGGCATAAATTACTTTCAAATATCTTCACAACTATGATAAAAGGAGCAAAAAATTTTTATATAATTACTTTACTAAAAGGTAGGATACTGACGAACTAACTTCTTTATTAAGTATTTAAATCATAATGTATAAAACACTCGGATAAAATATACCATTAAAGTTATACTAAAGTCAATAACGAACTTAACAGAATTAATACCAAGAACAAATACTAACCTTAGATGGTCCTTCTCTCATTTTTTTCATTTGATCCTTATACTTGACCAACTCCGCATCTAGCCGAGCTATTTTTTTATCAATTGACTCTCCTCTTGCATCGACCTAGATTAAATGAAAAGTTAATTCAGTTATCTCAATTAATTAAAAGTCGCATTAAACAAAAATCATTAAAAACAGTTCTGAACTCTGTTTAACCATTCAAAATACTCATTTTTTAACAAAACAAACTAATTAAGTAAGTCAAAAACAATAAAAATAAAGATTTACTAATTTTAAAATAAACAGAAAAATAAACTTATTATAAAATATAAGTGCTACTACAAGAAAGCAAATCAAAAAAGAAATATAAAATGCTTAGCAAAAATGAACTATTTACCCAGTTGCAAAATGTAATTTTGGAGTACATTTGCTAGGGCTTTTTTTTTTTGTCTAGGGTCTACTACTTTCATCTTACTATCAGATAAGTCACTATCAGATACATACACAAACGTGAGAACTGTGTTCATGGAAAATTTGTCATCATAGCAGAATAGTTTTTAAGAAAGAATTATTTGTAATTAAAATTTCCTTATCCTAGTTAAATATATAGATATTTTATTACGTATATTAAATTTTCAAAAGTTCAATACACAGAATACAATAATTAATAAAAAGTACTAAGCAAAAAAAGTTATAAAGTACAATAAAAAAATAAGAAAATTTTATGCGATTAGCGTACGGTCCCTCGAGTAAAAATATTATGCTTAAAATTCTCAATTAATTCTTAAAATTAATGAATAAAAATGAGATAATTTTGAGGTGATACAGCATTAAGATTCTTGACTGCTCTGGGAACAGACATGAAAATACGTATTTAGTGTATGATCAAGTCAAAACTTATGATTAAGGTACTGGTCAAAGATTACAATACTGATCTATAAATAGAATATCACAAGAAGGTTATTAGCTTGAAGGTGATGAAGATGATGCTGCGTCACCAATAATAAAATTAATAAGAGAAATAAGATTTTTTATCGCTATTAGGGGAAAAAATTTGACAAAGCGCAGTTAGTCCCCGTAATCAGCAAAAATTGGAGAGATTTTTCAGTTCAATTTGAAAAGGACGGAAAATGAAGTCTGAAATCGAGAGTCTCATGCAAAATGCACAACAGCAGACAAAAATCCTTCCCACTGAATCCAGGTCAATAGACGCACATGCGGATGCAGGTATTTCATTAAACATGCCAAATGAATGGCATCTTCCTATGCTACTGACCAGCGGTACACCAAAATAGATTGAGGTTGAAAGGGGAAAGGGAAATTCAGCGCACACCCAATGAAAAAGGCACCTTCAGGACTTTTAAATAAAGAAAATCAAAAATAAGAACCTTTAAGCACTTTTTTTAAAAACACTATGCACCCTGAAAAAATAGCTTTTTTCTGTATTAAATATCACAAGGAGAAAATCAAAATTCAGTATAAAATTATATTACTGCTTTTTCTTAAAATAACTATTTGGTCTGTTATAATTTAAGACTTGGATTTCAAATGCAAAAGACTTTTTTTTGTCATCTAAACCTTCCCCTTAGTTTCTTTACAATATACATATGTTTTTTAAACAGCACTCAAAATGCAAGATTAAATTATTTCACCAAAAATTTTACAAATTTTGAAAGTTAAAAATGTTTTCATTTAATTATATTACGTTAAAGAAAAACCTGTATTAAGAAAATAAAAACAGATATTTGCATAAATGGTATTTACAAATTTGAGTTAACTGAAATTCGTTAGAAATAAAAAATAACAGAAATTACATGTTTATAGATTTGAAGCATCTCATATTAGGTAAATTTAGAAATAATTCGTATCATAACAAAGAAAAAATAAATTTCATATTTGAAAAAAGTATAAGAAAAAGTGATGTTAATAAGTTCCGAATTCGAAAGTTTTCCACTGTTCGAAATGGAATCAATGACAATTTCAACCAACTTAAAAATTACACAAAATTATCTAATCCGATTTATTCAAACCACATTTCACATTATTCTTCATACGAACTTCATTTCATTTCTATAAATTAAATCAAATCGTGCTAAAATTTCACAATAAAGTTGGACCTATGCAATTCTAATTGATTGACATCAGGTTTGAGAGAAAAGGCAATATTGAGTTTTAGTTAGAAGTTTGCTCGTAATGAAAATTAAATGAATCTATTTAAATAAGCACCCTTTACTTTTGAAAGGAAGGTTTGTAAAATTACAGTTACTCTTTGTTATTTAAAGGCGCTAAAGATACAAATGACAAGGTACAAAACGGTTAATATAAACTTTTAACTCACATTAGCAATGCAATCCGTCAAATTCGGAGCTGGCTCCTTTGGTTTAGCTCGGCCAAATAATCTATTCATATTTTTTAATTTAATGAAATTAACGATTTGGTAAAATAATTCGATTGATTTTCAAGTGTTGCAACAGCAGACCGAAACCATAACACAAAATGTAAGTTGAAGTTGAGAAAATCTATCCATTCCGTAGCGCCCCTGAGATCTTCTAGTGGAAGAGCCCTCCATCCATTTTTTTTTCACTCTTACGCAGCATTTTTACTGCCTGCACACAAGCGAGAACCTGATTGGCAAGTTCTTCAGGTCTGAAAATATTTGTCCAATCAAATTCTCTTTCGCACTCACACATTCGGTAGTAAATTACAGACCATTTACAGGGGACTCAACTTTTTTCTGGTGTCTGTTTTGCGCTGGTAAAAGTATTTAATCCACCCGGCTCTCATTCAAATGAACCTTCAGTAAATGTTCTTTCTAATACGCCATTCTTTACTTGCACACCCTACTCCCCCTCTTATTTTTTATCATCCGAAGGTTTCCTATTATAGTCCTTTACATATTATCTTGTTCCTCTTCTCCAGTTGGTTTAACAACTTCTTTACCTTATTGCAACTTGTTTTACCCAGTGCATGCAGAGCCGGATTATACCTTTCGTAGGCCCTAGGCACAGCCCTTTATGGGCCCTCCCCTCCTCCCCTCTTTTCAAAATATATGCTAAAATTTTCTTCGTATGGAAACGTATTACGCCATTTTAGATGTACAGGGCCGTCTTAATAGCATGCAGGGCCCTCGGGCACAGAAGTGTTTTGGACCCTTATAACAGGTCATACTGCTTAAAACTAACAAAAACTTCACATACGCAAAATAAAGCATTTTTAACATATGCAATAATTTGAACAAATTTAAATGCATTTTGATTCCTCAAAAAAACTGAATCCACATAAAAATTTCATTGGAACGTAGAAAAATAGATTTCGGTTGTCTTTTTTAGTTTCCCTGGTGATAAACTATTAAAATTATTGTTTTTTGCATGATAATCAATCACTATTTGTAGAAAGAAAAACAAAATGCACACTTTATACCATAGAATATATTTATTTTTAAAAATATATCCGGCAATTTTGTTTATTCTTAGTTTTTTTTAAATACAATTTATAAAAAGTAAGATTCTCAAAGGCCCCCTTAGTGCTTAGGGGCCCTCGGGCACTGCCCGGGTGTGCCCATGCGTAAAGACGGTACTGTAGATGTATTAATTTCAGAAATGACTAAAAGGCGTAAAGCTTACAGTGATTTGTACGATAATTTCGGTTTTCTTGTTCACAAAAATTTGTCAGAATCTGAGATTAAACTAAAAGCGCAAAATTTGGTGAAAATTTACTCATCCGATTTAGAGGAAAACTTTGTAGATGAATTTTTACTATTTACAAATTTGTATGAACATAAATCTGCACAAGAAATGTTGAAGGCTCAAATTAAAGATAAACTTGTGAATACTTTTCCTAGCGTTCACATTGCATTAAGAATATATTTGTCGATTCTTGGATCAAATGCAGGAGAAAGATCTTTCTCCAGATTAAAATTGATAAAAAATTATTTGCTTTCAACAATGAATCAAGATCGTTTGGCATCGCTCGCACTTATGTCTATTGAATACGACATTTTGCGTAGTTTGGAATTCGACAGCATAATACAAGATTTCGTTGAATCCAAAAATCGCAAAAAAGTAATATATTAGATCATAAGATTCTGCAAAATAATTTACTACCGTAAAATATTATATTTTTATTTGTATCTTCATAATTTTGTGCAAAATACACTTGTTGTTTTTAAAGCTAAATTATTTTTGTCAGCAAATTTTTTTCTCCCAAGTTTTTCGTAGGCCCTAGGCACGTGCCTAGTGTGCTTATAGGTTAATCCGGCTCTGAGTGCATGATATTGTCATTTTGTGTTTCATTTCAACATTAAAGATGATTCATATTTATAACACCGAAACTAAATGACCATTTCTGTGCTTGATTGTCATTTAGTTTTACCGAATTAGAAAAATATTCAAATGCAATAAAAAGCTGTTTGGAACCGAATCAATTTTATTCTGCTGAAAATAGTACTAATAAATAATGTATTTATTTATTATACTTTAATTATAGTATATTCAGTAGATGTGTGAAAAACTAAATATTTTTTTTGAACTTTTCAGTCTTTTTTTAACCTACAAAGTAAATAGCTATTTTGGGTGTTGAACTTAATATTGCACTTTGTTCTGCTACACTAAGATTACAAAACCTAAAATTACGAAAGTGTGTAGAAAAATGTACATGGAGTGCGGGGCAATTAAAAAAAATTAAATTCCATTATTAATTTGGGAATTATCTGCTATTAAACTGAATGTAAAATAATACTATCGGAGCCTATCTATAGCCAGAGGAAATGCGGCTATGGAGCTCAAATTTGACACGTTGAAAAGACGAATTTCATTTATGAGCATAATGAAGCTTTTTAGAAATTTTTATAATTTCAAGTATCTTTTGAGTGATTTTTTCCCCTCTCTTTAGTGTTGAATAATTTACTATTTATCTATAGTTGAAGAAAATTTTTTTTCTCTCTTTCAAGATCTTCATCTTATAAGCTCAGGCTTAGCTTCAGGACTAAAGTGCTCTCCCACTCAAAAAAAATTACAATTGTTAATCATCATCATCATATCTGGCTAGACAGCCCAGGCTGGGCCAGTGCCTTCCTTTGAATTCGAATCCACTTCTCTTTACTTTTGACACTTGTTTGCCAGTTTTTCTCCTTTAGAGTAAGGATCTCAGCCTGGGTCTACCTCTTTTCCTGTTCGTTAGGGGTTTGTGTAACAGGATTTTTTTTAAATTTGAGTCATCATTCCTTCTGAAAATGTGAGCTGCCCAGTTCATTCAATGTATATAATTGTTAATAATAATAATAAAAGAGAGATTAGATGCGACAGATTTAAATCTTAACATTTATATAAAAACTTATCTGAGTAGGTCAAAAGTTATTCAGGTGTTCCATTTTTATCATGCATTGTATCAAATTACATGTGCGGAAAAAAAATTCTTTTTTCAAGACATTCAGCTGAAAATTTTAACTTCCTTAAACATGCTTGAAATTTTGAATATTAACTGTAAAAGTATTTACTATTTCATATTTTAATGAAAAAAAAAAGAAATTTTTGTCATTAACTTGCCTATTTTAAACTATTGTTTTATTTGACAACTATTATTGGGAGTTTATGTTGGGAGAAAAGTGTTCATTAATCTTTGTTGTAAAAGATAAGCATATTTAATTTTACTCTTAATTATTGACATACCCGCAACAGAAAGTAACATTTATATAATCTCAGAAAAACTTCGTTGAGGGTAAGTTTTGATACTTTGTATTCAAAAATAGTTTATAAAGATATTTTGAATTACAGAAACAAACAAACAAAACAAAAAACTATTAAATATTTTAATTAAAATTGTTAAACATTGCAATGTGACATGTTCCTGGAATGGATGTGACATTTATTTGAAGACACACGTGCAACATCATTTAAAATTCAACACAAAGGTAGACAAATTTTTTTAAAAAAACTATTAAACAAATTCACGTAAAAATAATGATTGAAATTATGTAAATGACAAGGGTAACTATATCCTTTGATTTAGTTGTGTGAAACTTAGTTACTTAATCAAAATTACCCTCATTTGAGCACATGGCATTGCATACAATTGTTTATTAATTCAATTTAGATCGATAAGTTGCTGCTTCTTCATGGAAATATTTTTTCAAATGACAGATGATTACAAAAATTAATTAAAAGGTTATTCTATCACTATTTGGAAGGAAAAAAAAATTTTAGAAATTTTTTTTTTAAATATAAATATATATGATTTTCTTATTACATAGCATATTTTTTTTTTAAAAAATAGGTATATCAGGAGCAGATATCTGGTTACTTTTTACTTACGTTAAATAAAAAGAAAGAATAAGAAAAAAATCATTGAAACTGCTTCTCAAATGTTTATAAAGTTAGTATAAAATGAAGATACTGAGTTTGAAATTAAACAAAATTTAACAACTAACTTTTACTAAGATTAAACATTTTAAATCATTTCAATAAAAATATTTAGAATTTGTTAAATATGTATTTTTGGACTTAAAGTGCTAAATTTATGCATTAATTTCTTTTTTAGAAGAAGGAATAGCACAGAACTATGAGAAACCCCTCAAATATACAGAATATCTACAAAAGAGAGGGGTGGAGACAAAAGCAAGGTGAAATAAGGAGAAAATAAAGAGGAAAAAAAAACATCGGCAGCAGCTAAAAAAGGAAAAATAATTAAAGCGGAATAAGAGGCAAAGAAAATTAATATTTTTACATTTTTATGTTATTACTGTATAATTCATTAATATCTTAATTAAAAAAAACTGCTTTGTAAATACTTGTGTATGTCATTATTTCATTGATTATATAAGTGACAACCACAACTAAAACATAGAATATTTCCTACACAGGCAAGAATTGGAAAGTAATTTAATTTTTTCATAGAATACTAATTTAAATACAATTGTCTAAGATAAAAAAAAATAGTTCACACATTTGCTATAATTCGAAGAATTTCGAATTTTTATACTGAGACATGAAAATGCATGTTACACCCATAACTCGAGGAAATTAGTTTTTCAAAAAAATAAATAGAAAACAGGGATGCAGATTTGTAAATATAGATGTAAATGGTCAATGTTGAAATACGTAAAAATTTAAATCAACGGCCAATTTAGTTTGTGCAAATGTCACATCTGCAACTTTGGATTGGGCAAACATTAAATTTTTAGTTCATTTTCATGCATTGTTTAGGCCAATTCTTAATTAACTAACTAATTACCTAAGGCCCTATAAATGAATTAAACTGAATATATAAATAACATTCTGAGGCATCCCCTACCTCCCAATTTCTTTGCAGACATCTTTGTTTCGTGTTGAGAAACAGAATTTTTTTTTTTTGAAGAGCAAAACTTAATCTATTTTATATTAATTTTTTCTNTTTGGATTGGGCAAACATTACATTTTTAGTTCATTTTCATGCATTGTTTAGGCCAATCCTTAATTAACTAACTAATTACCTAAGGCCCTATAAATGAATTAAACTGAATATATAAATAACATTCTGAGGCATTTTCCCCTACCTCCCAATTTCTTGACATAATAAAGTTCAATTTTTTCCTTTGGTAATTTTGAATCCTACTTAGAAAATAAGTAGGATTCAAAATCACCAAAGGAAAAAGAAAATGACCCATCTTTAATTACTGTTTTTCAACTTATACATACATGCCTCCATGCTAATTACATATATTTATAGACTGTTGATAAATTATTATTTCAATATTATTAAGAGTTAACAATATTAACAAGTTATTTTAAAAAATTTTAAGTGAATAACATATCCCAGCAAGAGTGCCACCAAAACTGGCATTCACATACAGAATTTACAAAGCTCAATCTAAATAGCTCATCATAAGCTATCACAATTTTCTTTTAAAACTGAAAATGCTATGAAAAAATTAACTAATGTAAACCAAGTGTGCTAATATTTCTTACATAAAAGAAACATACATTCACAACATTTGTAATTAATTTTATTATGGGTATGTATAATTTTAGAAATATCAGGTTTACAGAAAGAAAAAAAATCTGTATTGAATATGCAATAATCATTGTAAGAAAATCGCATTGATAAATTTGTTTCAACATTTACATCATGGACATTCATACTGAAGTATATATTTAAATCTAACTCATTTTAGAGGGAAAAGCATAAATATATCATTATCTTTATTAAATTAGAAGCTCTCATATAATAATTTTAATTTAAAAATTGAATATAGTTATATAACTTATAAGAATGCATTAATTTTTAATAACTTTAAATTTGAAAAAAATCTATTCTCATTAGCTAGTTATTAACTTGCAAATCTTTTTAAACTCTTTGATAAAATTTTAATATCATATTACCATCAGGAACCACAATGTCTAACACATTATACCAGACAAAAACATTAATAATATAGATATTTTATAAAATTAGAAGCTCTCCTTTAATAATTTTTATTAATGAATGAAATTATAAAACTTTAAGAACGAAGTTCTTTTTAGTAACTTTAAATTTGTAAATAAATCTTCTTGAACCAGTTATCAACTTGTAAGCTTTTTAAATTCTTAAATAAACCATAATATCTACAAACATTAGCTAAGTTGAAAATATTTGAATTTCTAAAAACAGTATTTAAAATTTTTTCAGTAAAATTTAAGTTATAAATTTTTTATAATATAAATCGAACATAAGTAAGTTCAAAATTCCAATTCATCAATTTAAAAATGCAGTTAAACACTTTTGACTAGAAATCTTGAAATTCTCGCTTAACAGCTTCCGCCATTTCTTCATCAACAGATCCTATGGTATCTACATCACTGCTTTCACTATTAACAGCATTAAGCATAATTTGTTCGTCTATTGCGTCACACTTACGCCGCCTTTTCCATCCCTTAGGGTAATCTCCAGAAGAAAGAGATTCAACGGAGGAGGAGGATTCTGAAGATGCTTTGGAGTCCTGACTGTCTTCTGATTCCTCACTACAAGCTTGCTCAATCTCTCGATCCATGTCGTCAATTTCATCTTGCGATAATGCTAAACCGGCTTCCGCAAATACTCTTTCAGAAAATTTATCTTCTTCAGACTTTCCTTGCTTTTTTTCAGAACTGAAAGGTCTTTTCAGACGATTATGTTTGCGGAGCAGGATTTCGCTGTTTTCGCTTTCGGTAGCATCCTTCGGGAGAATAAAAAGTCTTTCGTCAGCACGCTCCCATCTTTCTTCGCAGCACAGAAGCCAATCAAGAGTCAAAACCCAAATGTCTTTGTGTTGTCTGGCAGTATTTACTTTGGATGTATTAGATTTAAGGGCGATGAGATGAGTAGTTCGTTTGTGTGACGAGTCTAGAACTAAGTTCCTGGAAACAGTGGCACCTAACGATTCCGCCAACAGCCAAAAATGATGACGTTCGGCATCACAGTTTGTGGGCACAATACTACTAAACACAATATTTACTTTCCTGAGAATTTTTTTGCGGACATCCGGGACAACTTTTTTTAAGTCTGGAATGGAGTTGTCTTTGATTTCTTTTCGCTTCTTATAAAGATTGTAATAAGATTTATGTACAGAGATCAGAATTTCTTCCAAATACAACAAATAATCATCAGTCTCAACAATGTTCAAAGGTGTCTCCTCTTTTCCTTCACCTCCATCTGTCTTCTTTTCTGAATTAGAGTCACAATTGTTTACATTAGTAGCACTAGGCACATTATTATCCTTTTGTATATTTGAACTATTTTCTTTTTGAGCAATATCATCCTTTTTATTTTCTGCACATGAGTTTTCTTTAGAATCTTGTGTTTCTGCCAAGACTACTTCTTTGACTTCTTTAAGAGTTTCAGCACTACTCTCTTTATCACATGACGTTTCGGGATTTTCAATTTTGTTTGAAATGCTTTCTGAATTATTCGTTTCTTTTAAGCCCGAATCATTAGTTTCTGATGTTTCTTTTGATGTCACAGGTTTGTTATCCGATGAGACATTTGCTTCTTCTGACTTTACTGATTTCTCTACTAAAACTGCGTTAGTTTCATTTAAATTTGTACTTGAAGCCTCTGTGGGATCTGGCTTTACTGATTTCTCTACTAAAACTGCATTAGTTTCATTTAAATTTGCACTTGAAGCCTCTGTCGGATCTGGTTTTACTGATTTCTCTACTAAAACTGCATTAGTTTCATTTAAATTTGGACTTGAAGCCTCTTTGGGATCTAAAGGAATTGGAGGAGCATTGATATCACCAGTGTTTCTGAAAAAAGTATAAGGTTTAACGCGAATTACATTGGGTGCAAAATTCCATACATCTTCTCTATCATCAATGATACAAACCATGTGATCTCCTTTTGGAAACAATGCTCTAAAAAAAGAATAATAATAAATATAAGATTGTAAAAAGAATGCTATTAAACAGTATATCATACAAAACTAAAGAGAGGAAGTTTAAAGTTTTTACGGCTAAAATAGGTGTTTTCTTTCTTTGTATTTGTTAAATTAAGAATAAATCAAATAATCTTTCTAAAAGGAGAATTAAATACTCCTACTGTAGTTTTGCAATTAAAACCAATATCTTAAAAACAAATATTATTTGTTAAAGAATTTTACTTATTCAAATTTATAGTTTTGTTCAGTAAGTATTTATCCCTACAAACTAAATGTGCAAGGTCCTTATTTCAGGTGTATAATCAGTTGGCTACAACTGAACAAAAATAGGGGATTATTACACTTAGATGCAAAATAATAAATAAGTAGATTTACACGAAAGTGAAAAATGCATAAATTTTATGCATTTTAAAAGACTTTTATAAGAACAGCCTATAGAAGGCCTACTGTGCCCATCTCAGTTTTCTTTTCCTTGGGCTCCAGGGTGCAGGAGCAGATGTTTCGGATTGGGTGGTCAGTTGAACGTGGAACACCCAGTGTTTAGTCACCAAGCATGCTTGGTACTCATTTTAGCAACCCATTGAAGAGATGAAAGGCTAAATGAACCTTGCTCGGTTCGAGGATCAAACCCAGAACCTGAGGCACAAGATCGTGGAGTGCTACCACTCAGCCACCAGGCTTCTAATCTAACATACATATAGCAAAATTTACAGACACAAGGTCCATCAAAATTATACATAAAGATTTTGTAATGCTCAAATTGAAGTTTATACAATGATATTGAAAAAAAAAATGGAATTACATAATTAAGCCTGTAATCAAGTAACAGAAAAATAAAATTCCTTATTTTCTATTTTTTTTGTAATGTTCTCTCAATTCTGCTTTTTAATTTTCATTAGGAACATGTTTAAAGATGTTCTAATAAGGAGTCTCAGCAATTTTCTCCGTTTGTTGGCTTGCTTTTTAAAAATAAAAAACTTAAATGAAGAACACTCTACAGCATCTTCTGCCTTGCTGAAGAATTTATGGGTCATTTTAAAATTAATAATTTTGGGCTGTCAAAAAAACCTTTTATAATCATATTAAAACAATTGTACAAACATGCTACCGAATCTAAAAATATAAGATGCATTTAATTTTTATTCCAATTCATAACTTTCTATTACTCACTTTAAGTTAGCTGTTTTGGATGTAGGATCAAAACACTCATCTCTAGAAAGAATACGGTGGGAGAAATATTTTCCTTTTGGATCAAGTATTTGAGCAATTCTATGAGCATATAACCTAGCACCAAAAGTACAGATGTGAAGTTCATAAAATCTTGAGATCTTTTCAAGGAAGCTTTGTGTTCCAGGGCGTAATTTTGTGTGGTACCATGGGGAATGCTGGCCATAAAGTTGAAAGTGTGCATCAACCTATAATGTTAATTTTAAATTTAAAAGATAAATAAATTCATATAAAAATAATTTTTAATTTAAACAACCTATCATATAATAAGTAACAAAAATACTTATATTGGCCTATCAGAAACCAAGAAATTAAAGCCATTATTATAATCAATTCACAAGAAAACAAATTTTTTAAAATTAGAAGTTAAGCAAAAGGTTTTTAATTCAAAATTTTTTTGATTAGGAAACAGAAATACATGTTGCTGATTGAGACTCAGCTTAGTAAAAATTGTGAAGTTTTGGAATTTACGAAGTGTAAGATTATTAGTTTCAATGACCAATCACATAAGTAAAGTAAAATGCACCAACTAAAAATTCAACAGACTAAAGCTATTTTAATAACATTACAATAAACTCACCAGAAAATAAAAATTTTTTGGAATTAACCCCTTAACTGCCGCGGGCGTATATATACGTCTCGGCCAGACGATGTGTTAACTGCCCCAGGTGTATATATACCTTTTCCCGAAGTATGATGCTTTGCATTGCGCTGCTAGAAATAGAACTACACCCCTACTTCAGAATGCAGTAAAATGACCTTGAAAGTGTTTGGTTTGCAAATATATTACTAATTTCGGAGGAGGGGGAATGGGAAAAGGATGTTATGGAAAAGTGATATCGTATAATTCGTTTGCTTGTCTCTTTTTGAGTAAGGTCGGGTTTATTCTTTTTTCGCTTTCGTTTCCCGTGTGTAATTGGTGCTTTTTATTCTTTCCATCAACGTCTTCAAATACATCACGAAAATGTGCTGTTTGTTCAAGAAAAAAATTCTCCGTGAATCCCGCTATCAGTGCAATGAATGTGATGTTGGTTTATGTTTCCAACCATGTTTCAGGATTTATCATACAACAGCTAAGTTTTAACATCTTTTATATTGTATTTTTATTATTTAATTTAAATTTTGTATTTTCTTTCTTTCCTTTTTCTTGTCTTGTAAAAGTAAACTGTTTTTAAATTGCAACGCGTGCATCATTTCCCCCCACCAAAACACCGCGTAAGAAAGTGCACTTGAGCGAAAAACGGTGGCACTGGGGAGTGAATCACGTAACTTTTACTCGGCAGTTAAGGGGTTAAGTAATACTTTTCATTAATTTTGGAAATTGACAAAGGGATTTAATTTTTAAGTTTTATGATCAATACTCTATTTAAATATCTATCTAAAATGATTTATCTCATCAGATCTAGTTGTTTTTAAAATTATAAAATTTCAAGATTTGATTATTTATTTTATTTTTTGATTATTAAAAATTTTCTTAATAAGGAAACAGAAATATATGCAATGGAAACTTATTATTATTTTTTGTTTCGAATGAAAGAATTATTCTATTACCTAAACTACTAGAGTAACTAACCATTTGAAATAATTATTTAGTTACTCAGCTAAAAATTAATTTGGTACTATTTAAAAGGCAAAAAAATAATTTAAATATACTTATATTCAATAGGAATTAATCTTATTTTGATTTAAATTGATCAGTTCTCTAGATCAAACAACTTCTAGTAGAAAGTAGGTTCAAAGAAGATAATGGTCAAATTAATTTCTTTGTGTTTCTAGAAGCAAGTAAAATTTTGGAGACAAAAAATTTTGAATAAGTCATAGGCATGATCCCATGCATAAACTGAGAAATTAGGGAACTCTTTTGAAAAAATAAAGTAGGAGTCAGTTTATATACGGATCTTCCCTACCAGAGGACAAGTACCAAACCTACAATAGAAATAATAATAGAAAATTCTTAAATTGAATTTATGCAAACATGCAGTGGTTGTAGCTTAGGTGCAATTCGCATTATTTTTTCATATGTTACAGCAATTTTTAATTTAACCACACTTGTAATATATTTTATCTGAGGAATGAGCATAAAATGAGTTCCAAACCAGCATACACAGTAAAAAACAAGTTTTTTCAATTAACACTGCAGGAATTTTTTAAAAATTGGTTTAAATACTGAGTATTAGATAAATGTTTCAGGATAATACTATATATGGCTTATATATGGAATTACATTTCATATTTGATTAAATTCTGATTTCTGAGCATCTTGGATAGCCATGCTTTTATTATAGTCAATACATATATAAAAATGCTATAATTTTGTCAAAAATTTTTTTTTATTACTTTTTAACAATTACACAAATTTTGTTCCCAAATTTAAAATAATATTTTAATTAATGATAAATTAATGCATGATAAGCATGATAAATTATTTTAATCATTGGTTTTACTTCATGTTTTTAAATTGATAATTTTTTTTAGAAAATTAAACAATTTGAGTCATTGTTCATGTTAACAACAATTAAATATATTGTACATAAATACCCAGATTAAATATATTTTCCATAACTCTAAAATGTAATTCAATTGCATAATTTTATGATTATATATTTTTTATTAAAAATAATTATATATTGTGACACACACACTCTATCCCTAGTGAACTGGTCTAAATGCCTCCATCTGGAAGGCATGAATAGAAATAGTCAGTTAAGCTTTTGAACTCTTAATGGATTCAGTAAACATTCCGTATTCCCTTTGTAATTATAGTATCTGTTTGTAATTTTGTGTGTAACTTAACCTTTTAAATTTAAAATACTGTTACACTAAGAGGGCTGATTTATTTTGACCCACTATCTCTAGACGGACGGACACGCACATACACACACATTGTTAAAACTGGAAAAGACGTTTTTTTAAAAAAAATTTTATTATTGCTAAACCTGTAATTTTAAGTAAACAAAACTGGAAAAGTCGAAGAAAATATCTTCTGTTTGAATGTAAAACCTATCATATGTCTTTTAAATTTATTAGTAATTTTCCACAGTCCTGCACAGAAAATTAAAAACTTTTTCGAATGTGTTTAGGTATTTTGCATATTTAGAGTTTAAACTACTCAAATATATCTATTAAAACACTGAAATTTTAAAGTTACAATAGTAGTAGCTCATTACAGCAATGCTGTCTATGCTAAAAAAATGCTGTGAGCAACTCACCAACTAGAAATTAATTGGAACCATTGAGTAAAAAAATTTTGCACTTTCAATAATTTCTTTAGAAAACTTGATTAGAAAAGTTAACAATCATTTAACACATTAAAAGGTACAACAAAATAATTGATAAAGTGTGTTTTAAATCATGAATAAAATATTTATATAAATATATTATTAGAAATAAATTCATAAAAAAAATTATATCCCTTTCTCTATGTATCATAAATTTTATAAATTAAAGTGCAATTAACGAGCAAACAAGAAATTTTAACCCAGAAAATTGGCTATTTCATCAAGTATATTTGAAAAATGTAATCAGAAGCATACAAGAACATTCCACATGAAAATAAAATATACAAAATGACAAATGTTTAAAAAAACAATTCACAAGATTTATATACAGCAAGTAAGCAAAGAAATTATTAAATTATCACCTCCATTGTTTCTGGAATATTATCATTAGTTGTGTGAATTAATGTCTGATCAAGATCTACTAAGAGTACAAGTTTTTCATTTTTCAACAACCTATCTTCATCATCTTGAGAAAGTTTTTCTGCTTGCTAAAAAAAAACATATTTTCAGGTATAACTACAATATTTTCTCTCCATTCTAAATAATAAATCCAGATATATAAAGAATCTTCCATACCTCGTAAGAAACTTTTAATTCAGGTACAACATGAACCATGCTAAATGTTGCAGCAGCAGTTACATTCTCAAAGTTGTCTCGATCAAGACTAAATAAAAATGAGTAAAAATAATTATAGCAGCATAAAAACATAATAAAGATAAAGTTATTCTTTCTTAGTTATTATTGTTATTGACATAGTAACACAATTATAACATTGTTATTATTATGCTTCTAAGTAATAATTGAGTTATTGTGAATATAGGACTTAACTAATTCACAAATATATCCAACGATAAGCAAAATATGATTCTTAATAAAAGAAAAATTTAATCGAGGCATCATGTCATTAAAATATGAATCTGATTGAGGAAGAAAGTTGCTGACCATTTTTCAGTTCTGGCTAGGACATCTTGTCAGTGCTATAGATGAAGTTTATATTAATAATTTTAAGGTTAGTCAAACATTTAATATTTATCATTTCTAACCATGTTCCTAATAACTCAAACAATATTCAGATTTCATAATTAGGAAATTCTTTACTTGAACACTCTTCTTAACAATTTACTCGCCCTTAAAAGATATCAAAGTTTCACAGCATCATTAACATTTTTTCCATATTTAACAGAAATCTTAAAAAAAGAAAATCGATATGTATTAATATTAAATTAACAATATTATTAAATTCTAAGTAAAACCTCACTTCCTTAAGTCAGTTCCACATTCAGCACATAAATCTTTCATAATTACAGGATGAGAACATGGCTTTACTTTCAAAAGAGGCATCCTAAAAATATAAGCAAAGATTACATAGGTAATTTCATAATACACAACGAGAGCATTAACATCATAAATCTAAAATACTAGGATTCGGTGAAATCTTCAATGACAGAAATTCTTTCATGTAGCAGATAAATAATTAAGATTGTAATGATTTTGCAGAAACTAATAGCTTGCTTGATATTGCACTTCAATGAAACCAGCCTAATTTCTTCAGTTAATGAGGACATTACCATATTGGATCTTGATTGCAGAAACCACCACCTGGTTCTTAAACTTGGGAACAAGAATATAATTTTAAAAAATTATTGAAAGGTGTTCCTTAAGGTGGCAAGTATTTTGCCATCTATTGAGCTTTTTTCTTCTTAACTGGCACCACAGCCCTTGGTGGAGCCCTGGTCTTTTCTAGGAAATTCCTCCAACTGTTCTTCAGTTTTTGACTATCAAAGTGTTGATGTCAGTTTTCTTCTAGTTTCGTGCATATCATTACCAGCTCACAAAAAAATTTTGGGACAGGATTTAATATGGAGAATTTTTCTTCTCTTATTTAAACTAATAATATAACCAACTTTCAATGAGAATCTTTTCAATCAGAATCTTTTAACTAACAATTTTTTTTTAACCTTTCTTAAATTTAACAAGGTAAATTTTGTCATGAAACAAAATCAAAAATAATTAAAAAATTAAAAGCGGTGCTCTAAAAAAAAATTTCTTAAAATACCTAATGTTGTAGCAGAGTCATAACAAAATTTAATAAATAATTTTTAAAAATTGTCATAATTTCAATATTTATTTATTTTAAAAAATGTTTCATTATTTGCTATTTTTTTCTTTTTATTTTTTTCTTTTATTTTCTTTTTTTATGCTTTAGAACATTGCTTTAGATTCATAAAAATTTTGAATCAGCACAACATAAAGTAAAGATTTACCATTTGGCATCCCTGTAGTTTTTAACGCTTTATTTTATGACAAGATCAGCACTAAAAAACAAGATATTTCTAATAGCTTTTTAAAAATCTTTTTAAAAACCACTAAAATATTTAGTATTGATGTTAAATTACCAAATGAAAATGCAAGTTAAGGGAAGATCATCATACTAGAACTTGCACCAAAATTACCACCAAGTTTTGGTAATTTACAGGCAGTAGCCCGATAGAAATAAAAAAATCACAAAAGTGGATCAATTTAAAGGGTATATTTCGCAGTCACCATCGAGCAAGCCAGTAAATATTTCTTTTTAGAAAGTTTAAAATTGCTTTAGCATCATAACAATTGTAGTTGGCACGAACAGGTACCAATACAGAAATAACCCATAATTATGTTTTCAAATATTGGGTTATTTTTATATCGGTAACTATTTGAACTAGGCGAACCTACGATAAAGCGCCAACAAGTTCTTTAAAAATCAAACATTTCAGAAATTTGACTAAAAGGTGCCAAAACCTGGTAATGATTTGGTTGCAGGTACCTATTTAGAAATGTCCAAGGGGCACTCAATACTACACTCGGGTGGATCCCCGAGGCATTAATTTAAAATCTCGCCAAACTAGGTATATGGATGATATTTCGAAGAGATTATTTTGAACGTCGGATCAGACCACAACCACCCAACCAAAATTCTTAAACCTATTTGGTTATTTGATATGTATACTTACGCAAAATTTGGATTTTGTTAGAAAAAAGGTAAAAGGGTTTATTTTTTCGCCATTTATTCTTCTCTCCTCTTGCTGTTAAAATCATCGTTATTATTTCATTTTTTATCCGTTATTTCATTTATTATTATCATTATTACTTCATGTTTTAATTCTTGTGTGAGGTAATAAATTCGAAATAATTTTAATTGTTTTGTTTAATAATCGAAAATCAACGTTGATCCCAGTGTAATAATTTCTAACTTGGCAAGATTTCAAAAATTCGCAAGAGGTGGGCTATTCTAGGATTTTACCCTACACACTAACCATATCCAGAAAATACTATATTGAAAGGACCAATAAACGAGGAAAAGTATAGTGTTATTACGCATACAATATACTAATATTAAATTTATCCAACCCTGGCTCATACAATTGAACGAACTCAGTACTATTCAGATTTTGTTTTCGAAACATATATCACGAAAAAAAAAAGAAGTAAACTAAGTTCGGTAATCAGCTGGAGATAAGAATCACTCATAAATGGTGAAACCACTTAAAAAAATTAAATGTTATATCACCCCCAAAGGAAATACTCGAGTTTCAAAAAGATGTATCCGGAAAAAACATCGAAATATGACACTTCATTCAAATGTATCTTTTTAATTAAACTTCTTAAGTGCTTCCAAAAAAACATTAAATGCTACTCTGCCAATCATAGAATTATTGCAATAATTAAGTGATCAGTTAAATATAAAAATTTCATTTATTTTACCCTGATTCCACAATATCTCCTTCAGAAACTAGAAGTTCAGTCACAGTTCCACCAATATTGGATTTGTACTTAAGAAGTGGTTCTGTTATATCGGATTTCACGCCTTCATTTTGTTTGTAACTTAATATTGTAGAATTGTAATACAATTGATGTCCTACTCTTATTTTCCATTTAGATAAATGAAATGATTTCATTCCATCATATTTGTAAACATGCAAAGAGGTAGCCATGCTTGTTGCTTGTTTTCACTTTTGTTTTTAAAACAATCGCTTGTCTGTACTTGTGGCCAAATGGCAAAAAGTAAATAACTGGTTCGAATGAAAAAATATTTTTCTAAATTCATAGACAACTATCGAAACAAAAACAAAAGTAAAGTTTGCGTAATGTTATATTTAAATATATAAATGCATTATTTGAAGTTATATATTTATTTGCATACAAAAATCATTAGAAAAAAATTTCGATAATAGTATTATTGGATAATCTTCATCGATTGAAATTAGTCTGAAATTGTTTACTTCCTTTTTCGCTATCAACCGTATTTGCGAAGTGTATTACATAATGTTTTAATTAAACTTTCCGAGCTAGAAATTTAAATTCTATAGTGAAAATGAGTGTAGTTAAAAATGCTAATGTATTGAATTCAGGTTCGAAAAAGAAAAGCAGCGGTATTTTGCGTCAAACGAAATCTCGGAAAGATCCATCTGCAGACGCAGATACTGTGACAGAAGAGGAATTGCTGCAAAAAGATGTTGTGACACCTGATGATGTACTAAGGTTAAATAAAGTTACCGAAAGTGAGAAATGCAAATCTATGGATATTTTTGCACCTAGATTATCTATAAATTATTTTTATTCAGTCTTCTTTTTTTTTTGCACCACGTATTCTTTCGCTAGACTTAAATTCGAATGTTAGTATTGTATGCATGACTGCCTTTTTTTAAATGTAAGGGTATCTTTTCCCTAGGAAATTTAACTGAAAAGTGTTTAAATTTGTTTTGAAAGATTTATAATTAAAGTGGGATGATTATCATAACTACGGCAAGGCCAAGTGCCGCCAATTTTTTGGCGACCTATTTNTGAAATGTTAGTAATGAAATATGCATGACTGCCTTTTTTTAAATGTAGGGGTATCTTTTCCCTAGGAAATTTAACTGAAAAGTGTTTAAATTTGTTTTGAAAGATTTATAATTAAAGTGAATTTCAGTTGATTTTTGAACTGATTAATGTACAACAATAGTTGTCAAAATTGGTATTTAATTATTGGTATATATATCAATTGGTTGATCAAATTGTGCTGCAAAAATATGTGGAAAAAAATTTTGACATTAAAACTGTACTGCAATCTAGATTTTGATTAATTTTCATGCAAATTGAAGTTTATTGGTTTTTATATAAATATTAATTCCCATTTACAAAGTGCAAGAGGTGAATGATTTAAATAATTGAGTGAAAGCAATCAAAATCATGATTTTATTCATATTAATTAATAATAAAAACATTGACTTGAATCATGAAGGTGATTTTTCTCCCCATTCATAAAATAAAATTTAAACCTTAAAATTTAAAATTAAAAAATTTTTAAGTTATTGACAAATTATGCTATGAAAAAGTTATTGATGATGGTATTTTCTTATTAAAGCATTCAATTTGTGTTTCCAAATTTTACAAAATTAAAAAACCTTAAAAGGAGTATTGCATGACTTAAAAAGAAAAAACTGTTTTGAAAAGTGCGTTTATATCAGATTCTTCTTATTAAGTCAGTTCTAGCTAGAAAAATTAGAAATTAAGCACTTTTTTATGCAAGTTTATTTTATTGTATATTTTTTTTATGCAAGAGTATGTTAAAGCACATTTATGTTTAAATGATTTTGCAAAAATACTAATATTGCAGAAGAATATTGCATGTTGCAATATTGATTGCTACCTTTAAAAGGACAATTCATAACAAGAAATATGATTTTAGTGTTTTTTGCTCCAAAAATATTAGTTTTAATTTATATTATCACTTGGGAAATCTTATAAAAATTTTAATGTATACTAAAATCCTTAAAATACATTGAAAAATGCTCTAAAAAGACAGATCTTCTTATTTGTTATAAGAATATCTTTTAAATCTTAGGTAACCTTTTTTTAGAAGCATTTTTATGCATCAATATTCCTTATAAGGAGATAGTTTATGTGTTTATATATAATTTTAAATTGACTGACTTATTTCATTATTATTTCTTTAGATTATCTATGTTCACCTGAGGCTAATGTATTCGATATCGATTTTATCCGTTTCAAGATCAGAGATATGGAAACTGGAACTATACTTTTTGAAATAGCTAAACCACCTCCACCTGCAGGTTAACTATCTTTTCTTATTTAAAACTGGATATTTTTGTTAGAACTAATTTATAAAATTGAGCATTTTGTATATTAGGTGACTTTGATACGAAGCTTTTGGAATCTGCTTCAAACTGTTTCGATGATGCCATTCGAAAACATTAAAAAGTTTAATCGGTTTGAATCTTAAGAGAAGAGTTGAGTTTCCTTCTCTTTTTGTTATCAATAAAAAAAATTTTTTTAGAATTCAGATGTTTTGAAAACAAACCTACTATTTTAATACAAAATATTTTCCAACACTGCACCAACAGTATTTTTTTTTTTTTTTTTTAAAAACTTTTTCATCAAACTAAAAATTTTTATAAATTATGCATTTAGAAATTCAGAATTTGATTAGTGCATTTAAAGTCAAACCACATTCAGTTGGAATGTTCCCTAAGTTTGTGAAAGTCATGAGTTGTATTTTAGTTTTCTATTTCTTAAAGGTTTATTTTTCTTACTGAAGTTTAACTTTCTGAAAGAAGTAGTACTTAAAATATTGTTAAAAGAATTGTATTTAAATCAGGGCTCGAAGAAACTCAGAAATTTTACCCGTTGCCAAGGACGGCGTGTCCAACAATGTACCCGTCCTCCTTTTAAACTAACCCTTAGCTTCTAAATAAATAAAAATATAATTTCTCTTATTTATTACAAACATTTATATAAATTGCATAATGAATTAGTAGTTACTAGGATTACAAATACTTGGATTACATTATGCAGTAATAAAAGAAATACTAGGTTACTAATAGTAACCTAGTATTTCTTTTATGAAATAATTTAAATGACAAAGATCAAGTTATCTGGAATGTCAATTTATCTGAGGGTGCTGCTTTTTTTAAATGAACCAAATATGATGTTTGCCAGTTCCACAACGTTAGAAGTCCAAATGCACAGAGCAACTTTTCTTTTGTTTACCGATTACGTGAGCATACGCATTTGGTCTGACGAAGGAATTAACAGGATTTCTAGATCGGAGGGTCATTTTAGAAGTGAGGTGCTAGACTCTTGTAAGATGACAAAAATGAAAAATGTATCACGAACATCAACGGGAAAATGGCCGTCTGCACCAACGTCGGATTCGAGAAATTTGTTGTTCGCTGGGAATTTTTTACTGCCGCCGACGGGCCGTTTTTCGAGTCCTGATTTAAATAAAGAATAATGGCATCTTCTAATTATGAATTGAATTATTCAAAAAATCAAACAGTTGATTGATTAGCAATTGTTAACTTAAACGATAAACTTCTCAAAAGTTGAAAAAATTTGAAGCATCTTCAAAAGCATTATGTCACAGAACAAACTCATTGAATTTTTTGTTTACCTCTAATATGCATGAAATATTTGCTGTACTTTAATTTCTTTTACTGATTTATGTTTAATAGTTGTCTAACTTTTTTTATGTTAGTTTTATTCACTTGAACAGAAACTTTAAAGAATGAAAGTATGTTAATGGTTCTCAACTCTTGAAAAATATATATTTTATTATTAATGCATTCATTATTTCAGTCAAACCTTGTTATCATGGGGTATCAAGAGTTGTTGTAAAAAATCGAATGAAACAGAAAAATGTAAATAAAAATTAATAATTAAATAAGTTTTATTAACTATGGTTAAACTGCAAGTAAATAGAACCGAATATGAGATAAAAATGAAAAGTACACAATAAAGAAATGAAAAAAAGGGGGGGAAATTGAAGAGAAGGAAAAAAATTTTAAAATACTAAAATTAAGAAAGAAAAAACAAAACAAAAATAAACCAGAAAGAAAAGATCAATGAAGAGATATAATCTTGTCATCGTCTCACTCAATGGATAACTACAGTCAATTTTTTTAAAAATCTGAATGCATTCGGAATTACTCAAAACGCCCAAAAAATATTTTATTATTTCGCAAAGAGTGCTAATTATTAAGTTATTTTTATTTTAAAAACTCTTTACTTACCTTTTTGTCTGAAATGGGAAACCACATGATTATTCACATATTGACGTCACCAGTGCTCATCTGATGCCTATTTACAATCGCCGTCCATTGAAAGCCATTATGTTTCAGCTATTGTTTTAATTTTTCGGACAAATTCTTACTGTTTTGGATTGTAAATACTAAATATTTCAGAACAAAGATTTAATTCTACGTTAATATAATTATATCTTAATGAAGCTTAATAAAAATGAGGACTTAATATAATAAATTCTTATAATATTATTAACTAAACGGTATTAATAGTTGACAAAATTTTATAGCTCTAAATATTTGAAGTTCTGTAAAAAAGGTGTAAGATTGAGTTACACATATTACCTATTCATATAATGCTTTATAAATACAAAATAATTTTATTCTCTCTTTTTTTTTTAACCATTTTAATTTTAAAAAATATTTCAGATTTTATGTCTTATAATTCTAATTTTAAGTGAAAGAAATGTTGAATTAATTTTTTACACGGAATAGTTTTAAATTTTAAGTTATTATATTTTCTTGTCTATTCCAGTATGAATTTGTTGCTGGTAATTATTTTTAGTATAACAGTACAAAGACCTTTTAAAAAAGTTGTGATTCCAACAAAATTTTTAATTCATTCTTCAAAAAAAAAAAAAAAAAATCAGAAAAACAAATATTGATTTTACTGATAATGATGAATTTAATTACATTCAACATTATAAAGCCCAAAATTACAATCAACATTATAAAGAATGGCAGCAAAAATATTTTTTTATTGAAATATTGTTTTAAATTTAAAAAAAAAGAAGAAATTAATATATTTCAGTAAAATTTATTAACTTTATTTTACTTGCATTACTTTATATAATAAGAGTATTAAAATCATGAATATGCATTTATTTAATTCTACATTACAGAAACAGGAATTGAATTTTATAAAATCCTAAAAAAATAATTTTTTGCTATAGCAAAATTGCTATTCACCCAAAGAATGAAAATGTTGAGAATAGATATCAACATTGCTGCCAATTTGATTATAGATTAAATAATAGAAATTTTTTTTAAAAAAAAATGCATTAAAGATCAATTTTGTTTCGCATGAGGATTTTTGATTCATCAGCTTTAGTTAAACAAAAATGTCTAACTTAATGATTCACTGAAATTATAGGGTATAATTGTATCAAGTGAAATTCTGCACTTAGATAAGCACTTAGATTATTTTTCAAGAGACTAGATTCTTAAAAGGGAGTATTAGCTTTTTGGTGATGCCATATGCTAAACCTGTGATTTTTTTCGATTTATTTCAATAATTTTTTTTTATTGAAAATGTTTAATACATTAATTTTACTACTTTAAAATTCAACTTAGCAAGAACTAAGATAATTTTTTATGTACGGAAATAAGGTGATAAGTTAACAATAATGATATTTTGTAAATGCTATATAGCAGAAAATAAAATTAAACTATCTAAATAAAAATATTTTCTAATCATAGCAAAATTCTTATTTACTCAAAGAATAATATTGCAAATATATATGAACTTTATTTTGTATTTAAATATTTAATATATAGTAAGAAATAATTAAAAAAATGCATTAGTAAATAAAAAAATCCTACAGGTCTAGTAAAAGCTGTTAACTAAGTGATTCACTGAAGTTGTATGGCAAAATTAGATTACATTCAAATTGAATTTTCGAACACTAGCCCATAGATTATAAATATGATAGATATATATTTTTTATTGGATTTGTGTTATGAAAGCATTGATTCGTTTTAATGCAATACCATATACTTAAATCGTCAACCCTATAACTAAATGTGTACTATTTCTGTCCAATTTGTTACTTATTTTAATTTCTGTCCTATCTGTTACTGAATAATGTAATGAAGCTTTAATTGAAAAACATTTTAACTTAAAAATAAGTGGAATAATATAATATTTGCCTTGAACTTTCAAGCATCTAATTTAAAGGAATGGTGAGAGCTACGTAATCATTTCTTTGGCAATTTTAGAGATAAATAAACAGTCTGAAGTTTAAAAATCTTCCATTTTGTTCACACTCTCAAAAGCCTAAATTTAATTCACGAAATTGTTATTAGTAATATAATAAGGAACGATTATGCATTATAAGATATAGAAAAACTAAAAGAGCATGGAAATAGACTTAGCAGACGTGAGATGTGTGTTTCCCTTTAGCACATGTGACTTCGTAACCAATCTGGGATCGTTTTTGATTGCATCACTTACGGAGGCTTCTTAGGGCAATTTAAATGTTTAATAAATTAGGACTGGAAGTATGAAATTTTAAGAGATGCTGCAACTGTCCATTATATCTGCAAAAATGTGCTTTTTAATACTATACAGTCAAACCCCGCTATAGTGAACCTTCAAGGGACCTACATTTTGGTTTACTATATCCGTTACGCAGGCAATTTAACTAATGGTTCCCAAACTCCTCCCTTTTATTACACATCATTCAAATAAATGAAATTATGTAATAGCAACAAAANCACTATATCCGTTACGCAGGCAATTTAACTAATGGTTCCCAAACTCCTCCCTCGTATTACACATCATTCAAATAAATAACTGAAAAATATTATGTAATAGCAAAAAAAAAATTTTTTTTTTCAATACTCTTCCTCTCGTGTACAAAAAAAAAAAAAAAAANGCACAGCCTGGGGAAGAGCGTGTAAAAAAAAAAAAAAAAAAAATTATATTAATCTTTAGCTGATGAGCAATCCTCAACATCAGATATGGAAACACTTCCAGACTAGCAGATAATTTTTCCTGAATTTATGTTATTCCGCTTTTTGAACCTGCCTAACCTGCCATTCGAGCACATAAAAGTAGTCTCATAAAATTGTTTAGCAAGTTCATTGACATTTGTTCAGATACTGGAAGATTGCGACTTCTTCAATTGGTGAACAACTTCCGTAATGCTTCTTCAATATCCTTGTGATCTGCGCTTCTCAACTTTTTTCTGCCATCTAATTTTTTTCATGAACAGAAATTATTAATTGCCTATTTTTCCATATGTTACAAA